TGAGCAATTTTGGACATTTAGGAGCCATTTTCAAGTGATTTTGGAGAAATCTTATATATTTAAACAGTTTGTGGGTCATTCTGGACTTTTCTGTGTTATTTTGGTCGACTTTTATGTCATTTTGATGGACAAAAAAACCCCACATTTTCTGTTTAAAACCAGATCAGTTCTACATCCATCCAGGTGTCACAATCTGAACATTGGATGTTTCCCTTTTTTTTCTACAAACAGTCTGATAAATGATCGTAACACCTGCAACCAAACCAAAGACAAAACAATTGACAACATCAGGTTAATATTTTACTTATGAGACTAGACTGAAAAGCCACTTTTACCTGATAAGAACTGCAGGACCAAACCGTTTTGGGGAAAGAAGCTGATATAAAGACTTCAACTCTTGATGCAAACTGGAAAAATGAGTTTGAGCAAAAACAAAAACCTCTGCACTTTTTTTTTTACCACTTGTGCAGGCAAGTTACAAAGGGGGGATTGTTAACTTAACGGCAATTATGTCGGCAGTGTCTAACACCCAGTAATAACCTCCACTTCCACTGACTTTGTTTTTTGTTCTCAGCCTTTATTTATCGAGGGAGCTGCTGTACTCTGATGCACCATCACTCAGGCACACATTCATAAAGTTCACCTCATACATATCAGATATCAGGTGGGAGTTGCCAAGTACAATCACTGAGTGGCTGCATAGGAGCAGACGGGGATTAACCGCCTTGCTCGAGGGCGGCTCTGAAACGAGACGTGCTCCCAGGCAGCTTTAGACGACCTTTTCATTCATTAAAATGTGTCCTGTGTTAAACTGGAGACGTCTCTTTATTGTATTATTGCTATACAGTAAATGCAGATCTTCAACGGAGTGTCATGCACGGCTTCAATACCAAGTACACAGGTACAATGTATATCATTTATTCAATGGTTTAACATGGTAATCTATTGAAAAAGGAAGAGAAACATACAGATATACAGTATAAATCTAAGCCTAAATACATTTTGTGGCAGCACAGAACATTTCACATTCCATTATGGGACCAAGGCCATACAACACCTGAAGTCTTCGATGACTGTTTTTTTTTTTTTTCTTTTTTTCTTTTAGTCTTTTAAACGTAGGCTCACATGGCATAGTTTCATCTCTAAAACGAGCAATCAGCTGCTCTCATAAATGAGTTTGCAAAAAATCTTTTTTCAATAAAAAAAAAAAACAAAAAAAAAATCCTCCCAAGTTACGAATTGTATTTGCATGCATGATAAACAAGTATCTAGAGTTTGTAACAGTTGTCCTTCTCTTTTCAACTCCGCTTTGTAGTTGGGTAATGAAAAAATAAAGTTACAATAACCAACTGTTTTTTAAATCTCACCACATAACTCAAAAGTTGAAATCAGTAAGCCAGGAAGATTTTTTTTTTTTTTCCAACTTGCACAGTTATTTTTTTTTTTGTATAGCTTCAATGTTCAGTCTTATTTACACCACACTGAAGCTTCATCAACATTTCATATTGTCCTCTGAACTACACAAACATCTTTGGACAGACTGGTTCCATGACTTCATTGCACGAGATCACCAAACATTGCTTTGTGCCCAAGACCGAAGTCGAGACATCCTTCTCCGACCGTGTGCTCAGACGGAGCGACGCTTGTTGAGGCAGTGTGATTGCATTCAGAGCGATTGGAAACGGGATTAGCTGGAAGCTGGACACACTTGAGCTTAAAAAAAATGTGTGCAGATCTCAGATTTAACTTGGTAAGGGATGTCTCTAGCAGTTGGCTGTAAAAAACGTCTGAGCACACCGTCAGCGAAATGTTTCGACTTTCTATTTAAAGGTATTGTTTCATCTGTAACTGTCGCCCTCTTGGACCCTTCGTTTGCACTCAGCCCCGTCTACACAGTAGAAAACGAGACTTGGGGGGTGATTGAATGTGGAACCAACGAGAGCCCTATATAGACCAGGGTTGGGTTAAATCCTGTTTCCAGAAAGCAATTTGTGCAGCAACAATCCAAGTACAATACATTCAAGTTCTTAGTCACTGTACAACTTTACAAGTTATCCATCGATCGCAACTCTGACCTCACTGTTATCAAGTAGCAAATCTCTACATGTATTCTCGTACATGCACAAACGGTGGAGTCCACGGTTGAACAAGAACGCGTCAACTGTACATCAATCGGGTTGGGACTAGTCTGCGACCTTCGGCGGAGCGGCACACAGTTTGTCAGAGGAGGGAAGAGCTATTTTTATCCACAAAACTATTATATGTTGACATGTGTCCATAGTCTAGCAAGCAGCACAGAAAATAAATGGTCTTAGCGGCGCCCTTCCTCCCTCTCTCGAAGGCTCCTTTTATCCACTTCCCATCACACACATGCACATGCACACACTGGGAAAACACCATCTCGGTCGTGTGTTTTCTACTCTGGCGTAGGAAAGAGTGTGTTACATTCTGATGGAGAAATGATGACCATGGCTCATTATCCTCTCCCTGAAGAATGGATCTGATACATTCAATGCTAGTATGTGCTTATAATTACTCGGGTTATCGCGGTCCATCCGCGGGAATCTATGAAATCCATTTGCATCGCTTCAGTATGGCCGCGCTGTTAAAATGCAGAGGCGAACATACGTACAGTGGACATGGTCGGCTGTTTTGAGTAGGAATGTATTCAGAGTGCCCCACCAATGCTCAAAAACTAAACTGTTAGTTCAATCCTTGTCTCTTTTTTTTTGTTCCCCACTAAGTAATCTGACAGTTTATAGCCAGCATGACAATCACAAAATGATCATTTTTGGGTTGTACACACAGTATATATATATACACATTTATGTATATACACACCTATGTACTTATGTACAAAACAATGGGTTTCATTCCTCCATTCTATCACCACCACGGAGTTGGTGTCGAACAAAAGCAAAACAAGAACAGGTTAGGAAATCAAATGAATACCTGAAGACACGGAGTACAAAAATATCAGAATATTTCATGGGTTAAGTAGTAACTGTGTCGCCCAAAAGGCCCTTGGCAGTTGTTCGAAATGAAAGTAAAGTTTTTTTTTCGAGGAGGTTCGTTAAATTTGAGTGCAAATTCTGTCATGCTATCACTTGAAGCGTTGTTGCTTGAAGGTAGAAGTGGAAAAAAAAAATGGCAGTTTTGTTCATAGTTGTGCTTATTTTCTTCTTTTTTTTTTCTCTCTCTCTTCTCTCCTCCGATATCAAATGACCGAAAATGCGGCACTTTTCTTTTGGTTAAGAAAAAAGATGCCGAAAAAAATTCAGAACCTGAGTCACAATCATCCTGAACGGAGGACAAAATCCTCGCCGTTAAATTCTTGTGTTTGGGTTTACCAGATCGATGCATCGTTTTCTGTAGCAAGTATATTATCAAGGCTATAAACAAATACACATCAGTCTGTAAAGTTGTGCCGTAACCCAAAGGCAAAAAAGTTATTTGTCCACTACAGCTGATCATTACATGCATTAATAGTGCATAGGGTGTTGAATGGATTTCTAGGAATTGCCTGCACTTATCTGATCACCTGTGTAGTATAAAGTTTTATTATTTTTTGATTAGAAAAATCTTTGCGCTAACTGCTATTGTGTTTGCTTTATTTTTATTAATTTTTTTGCAAATACTGTATTATTTATTCAATTGCTGGCTTTGTATCTTGCTATTTACATATTACTGAGAGGGCAAACGTTGGGAAATGACCGACACAAGTCCCAATTACAGTACATACTTTCAAAAAAATAAAAAGAGCTCGGTACTAAGGATTCAAAGACTGCAAATATAAAAACAACTTTGATGAGAACTTGGTCCAAAACTCAGTAGTCTTTTCTCAGTCTGTCTTTTTGTCTTGTATTGTTGCAGTCTTCACCTGGACAGATTCCATCATGTATAAAAGCAACAGAACAAAAAAAAAAAGGAAGAAAAACAAGTGAGATGAAAAAAACCAAAAATCAAACAAACAACAACAAACACCTCAACAAAAACAGTCCGATCAGACATAGTAGAGCCAGTAGACGAGGTTGAACAGTGAGAAAACGGAGGGGAAGATGATCCGTGACCAGCGGTCAATGGCGTTCACATCCGTCAGGTCGGGGATTTTGATTTTGAGCTGCGAGGACCGCCTCCGCAGGCGGCTGCGTTTCATCTGGGCTGACCGGTCCAGGGAGTGGCGGCTGGCGGATCGAGGCCCGATCCCGCCGCTCTGCTTGCGGTACTGGATGTGCGTGGAGGCCGTGCTGTCCAACTGCACCATGGACTGAGAGTTCCTAATGTCCGCCACGCTGGTGGTGATCTCGCCTCCCGCCACTTCGTTATGGATCTCCAGGGTGGTCAGCAGGATGTTCCCGTGGCCATGTGGTTCCGCCTGAGTGGATAAAAATAATGGGCATTATGATCACATCAGTGGACCAGAGGACATGAAGCTTTGAGACACTGAGCAGTCAACAACATGAAAACATGCAGGTCATCATTAGGGGATTATTGTGGTCTGGTTCTTCAGAGTTGGCAGCAGAGGCATCATATGATCCTGAAATCTTTACATTTTAACCTGATGATTGCATCATTTTCAAGTAAAATGAAAAAAATAAAAAAGCAACCACAGTAAGGTAAACACACGCCATGTTTCACATTAACAGGGATGCAAGTGGTTCTCTAAATGTGTCTGGGAATTAGTCACATTCACGATGCCTTACTAATCCATCACATTCAGGTAAAGGTGACAAAAATGGTTGAGAACAACTTTGCTACATCAGCTGGTTCTAGCCATCAGATAGGTTTTTAATTTTAACTTTCATTGTTCATAAGTTTGTTGTATAGTAGTTTGGATGAGCAATGCTTGAAATAGTCCAGAAGAAGACATCCACCCATAGTGTTCCATAACATAATACCTAGAAAACAAAACAAAAAAAGTAGTAATGATAAAATATAACAAATGAACACAATTAAATGAATAAGTAAATAATAAAAGTAATAATGCCACTGCATCTACTAACTGTGTTGTTTATATAAAACAATGACAACTTTGTCTATTGAAAAAGCTTTTTTATATCCACAGCCTTGAAGTCGTTGCCTTGGTGGATTAACCAGCGAGTTATCACCAGATACCAATAACAACCAGCTCTGTGCTCTTCTATACTCACACAAAATGAAGCTGCTTGAACTTGCTTTATTAATTCATACCAATAAAATAAATGTATTTGTTGACTTAAGATCTTTTCTAAGCTGTTTGACTTCGTTTGTACACGGTAGGAAGATATTAATTTTTACCTAGTAGCTTTGTTTCACTGTACGCTAAGTTTGCGACGGGTGACGTTTTGTGTTTCTTGTGTTTAAGTACTTCTGAACAGCACTTTGGACGTGTTAGCGAGCTAAACACCTGTGTCACCTGTCTAGCTGCAGCTGAGCCTTGGCCAGTAATGTAGCTACTTGTCTCCTGGGGTGAGTAAATCAATCAGTATTCACAGTGCAGTTGCAAAAAACTGAAGGAATCATGTTCTTGACGTCACCAGAGAATCTCAGCGCTGATTGGCCATCGCAGTGCGAAAGAAAGATCGCAAAAGTTCAGATTTATCAACTTGCCCGTCAAACATGAATTCGCATCATTCGTGCGAATAACTCGCTCAATTCGCGTCATTCCCGCCACGCTATATGTGCAATTCGCGCCCCAGGACATTTACTCGCATCTAATCGTGTCTTCACATTGACTTTACATGTAAATCATTCGCGCGAATTATTTCACTCGCGTCTGGTGTGAATACAGCATCATCACAGTGCGGGCTGCTCGGACAGCAGAAGTAATGAAACCGAGGGATTTTATCCTGTGAATGGAGACAACAGCGCAGGTAACAACGCGTTTTATGAGTGGAGCCCATTTGAAAGCGGCAAGATAATTTTCATATTGCAGTTAGAAGACATATAGATCTTTTTTGCAATGTTTGTATTAACCTTTGCTTCTGTCTTGGCATAGAGTCTCTCCTTCTTTATTTTTTTTTACAGAAGCTCTCCAGAGACTGCTGATGGAGATCGACGGCTTTGTTTAACCGCCTGGTATGAAAACTGACAGAATGCAGCAAACATGCACCAACGGGAAGACGATCCAGTTATCTTTCAAAATAAAACATCCTGCAAACTTAGGTTGGTCCTAACATTTCTGGGTCTATTATCCAACTCAGTCTCCTATGATATTTTCAGTGTGTCTTTGTTTTGTAATAGTTTGATCAGATAAAGCTGTTTGAACTGATTGGAAATGTAATATTGTGTATTTGGACATTTAAATATATATTTACCCATCATAAATTTATGATTTAACATTTATTTTATTTGAGCTCTAAAGGAAGAGCAAAGGTAGATCGTGTTGTCCTGATGATACTTCTGTGTTTTCAAAATGCTAAGATTACTGCTACTGATGAGAGTACGTTGGTGCAGCGTTTGCCTGCACTATGATGAGCTGTTATTGTTGGGGTTGTTGTTTTTTTTTTACAAGTAAAGATTCCTTTACTGATACCCCCTTGCCTTTTGTTGTTGTTGTTGTTTTATTATTTGAATGTGACAGTTTTACGTTTGCAGTTCCAAGGATGACGCTGTTAAAGATCTGATGTCAGATGCCTGGGATTGTTCACTGCAGCAGAAGTAATTCTGAACTGCTCCTTGAAGTGGCTACAAACAAATAATGAAAGGACATTGTGAAAGGTGTTCTTGGCTTTATTGGAGCCCTGTACTGAGTTTTACCTCAATGTTCAGCTGCCCTGCCCAAAACTTCACTGTTTTGGTTCACAGCAACAAAAACACGATAAATTAAAGATTGTGTATCTGGCCAGTTATTTATGTAATTTACTGTCATACATTTATGATTTTAACATTTGTTTGAGATGATTTATGGGAGGCTCTTTTTGGATTTTAAGGCTTGTGCAGTTACAGATCCACAAGTGGGATATTTCCATCTTTTATTGTACTTGAGGAAATAGGAAATTAATTTTTTTAAAAAAGGAAGATGTAACAAGACTTTCATTCAGCCTTCTACAGGTTTTAATTTATTTAAATCCCATAAAAAACCCTGTCCAGACACAGAGAAGTTTTACCAGATTGAGCTTTTGGACTAACACTCCTCCCCACTTCAAATGAATAGTTGTATTGCTACAAAAGTGATGGATGTGTGAATAAAGCTTTGCTAAACAGTTGAATTTGTGAGGATTGCTTCTGCTCCATCATCTCAAATGCCCTTGCACATGTTTACCAACAGGCCTCCCAGTTAAACAGCTAAAGGAGGAAAATCAGCATCTTTTCGGACACAGGTATGTTCTTCCATTTATAGACCATGTCGGGGAATTATAAATAGCTGCTGCCTGGTCTGTGCTAACAGGTGTAGTTGCCTGGTGACCTGTCAGAAACCTATTACATCTCTGAATGTACCCATAATGAGAATTAAATTGTCATTTAATTGTTGCTCTCAAAGCTTCTATGGTGAAAACCTACCGCTGTGCTCCTTTGAAACAAATTGCTATTCTCTAACTGACCCCATAAACACGCATCAGTGATTATAGCTGTGAGAGAATGAGTTTAACACTTCGGTGGCTCACACTAAAATACGAGGTCTGTGTTTTTAGGGTTAACCCCTCCGTTTCTGAACGGACTGATTCCTTATTAATGTGGACGTTATCTATAATTGATGGTAACACTGATTGATGCCAGCTATGAGTGCAGTTTGTCTGTTGATTTGAAAAGAGGAAGCACATCCTCAGAGGAATTTATATCCGTTACAAGAACGGGTTAAGAATCGATTATGATATTAGCTGCATAAGATGACTTTTTAGCAGTCGAAATGTTGGGACTTGAGACGGCAATTTTGATCCAGACTGTTGGATGGAAGATTTGCAATCATATTCACGTAGGATTTTCGTAAACCTGTCGCTCGTCCTATTGTGCTGTCAACAGATTAGCAGTATTTGTTAATTTGTTAGTTAATAAGTCCAGTTCCTTTGTCTGATTTTGGTCTTTATTCGTGTCTTCCAGCTGTTCAGAGGGAGCTGATGCCACTTCTCCTCCAGCTGATGTGGATCAGTGCTTCTACCACCTCTGCCTGAAGATGTGTCAATAGTGAGGGCTTTAGATTGTTTTAAAGATACTGGCATTGCTGTCCTCTCTAGTAGAAAGAGAACAATAAGGAGAGGGAGTCCAATTTTTCTTTTGTGAATGCAGCATGTTGTTATATGTTAACACTTAAAGTAGCACTTGACACAGCCATTACCTCTCCAAACAAAACCAGAACAAGAAAGCGCTAAAACTGAAAAATTCTAACTGAAAGGATATAATCTCATATTGGGGGGAAAAATGTGGACTGATTTAGACACTCCGTTTTCAAACTCATGATATTTTGGGCCTAGACTGAACTTCACAGCCCATGCTTTGTTCATGAACCCAGCTCCTGACCTTCGTTATTGCTTCTTCCAAAGTTATTTCAGTAAGTTCATTGTCACATTCAACAATTAAACACAGCAGATACAGGTCATCATAATCCATGCGGATGATGTGTGCGCCACAAAACAGATCAACAGTGATGAAAAGTGGTCGTCATTCATGCAAATGTAGCAACTGTGGAAGTCCCACATTTCCCCTGTTCAACAAGGGTTTGGTTTGCTCAAGTCAAGTTAACTTTAATGCTTTACTGAAACATGCCCCCGTCTAGCTTTTATCAGCAATGTGATATTAGAAGCAACTAACTGCAGATTGTAACTGTAAAATCTGTCTTCATATCGGATGTGAAGTATTGACTATAATGTTGTACAACTGCATTAAGTATCATGGAAGCACATTGCATTCAGTATGGTAACCAGTCATCACTACTCTAGAGGAGACGGTGTTGTAGAATAACTGTAACACTCCAATATCACAGGGATTTAATGATAGCTGTCAGCATAAAGCAACTGGTAATAGAATGTACATACAGAATTGGGTGCTCATATCCTTGGCAACTCTAAAGTTTCTGCTCCTTGCCAAAGTTCACAACCCAAGTAGAGTAATTTTCCCAAAACGCTCACCAATATTCATCACCACTTGTGATGCTGAAGCAGTTACCACTATACCATTTCTATTGTGAACACAATGCATTTGTTCCCTGTATTGTCTACAGATGCACAATGGGGGACCTCTGCAGTGACTACCTACTGAGAAAGTCACCACATCCTGACATGCGCTATGAGAGAAATGGCTTTATCGATGATCTCAATGAGAACAAACATACAGACAGCATGCGTTCAAGGTGAGTTCCAAACACTTTATCTGAAACAATAATGGTAGCACGAGCATCATTTCAATGTAGCAAAAAACTGCAATGTCATGGAGGTGTCTGCAGTTGCTTAACTCATTGCATGGATGGATTTTCTTGCACTAGGAAGGAAGACCATTAAACACATCCATGTCAGCTTGATGGCGATGGCAGAGAGTCTCACCGAACAAACAACCTACCGAGCGTGAGTGGCGAAGACCTCTAACCTGATTGGACCGCTTTAGGGATGCGGTCCTACTACCTGCCTCCTGAGAAGATGAAAATATTCAGCCACATGTGGGAACAAACGCCTACAGATAGTTTGTGTACCTACGCCTGTTCACTAACTTACAGCTCAGGCATCCAAATGCTGCTTAGTGTCACTGAAATACGACAAGTGCAACATTCAGTGCACCGATTGTTGTTAATCAAGCTAGCAGAGTTCGCTTTTAAAGCTGCACACGACACGTTTTAATCGGCCTTCATGCACAACTAACAAAAACAAAGGCGCTGTTACTTTAAGCAGTTCTAAAGACGACATTATTTCAACATGTTGCACTTGTCTTAACGGACCTTTATAGCTTAGAGTAAACCGGTCATTCTTTTTCTAGTAACACTGCAGCATTTCTGTCAACATTTGTGGCCAATTAGACAAACGGTAATGGTAACGATTTACACTTTTTTTGTCTCTGCTGCTGCACCAAAAACATGCCACTTTGTGAATTTTGTGTCACACCCCCTATTATCCGAAGATAATCAAATTGAGACTCACCCTTGCAGCGTCATACTTGGCTGCCCTCTCGTTGTTGGCCTTCTCGGCCTTCTCTGCCAGCTTCTTTTGCATCTGAGGGCCCCTTCCGAAGAAGATGTAGTTGACGAAGGCGTACTCGAGCAGGGCCAGGAAGACCATGACGAAGCAGCCCATCAGGTACATGTCGATGGCCTTGACGTAGGGGATCTTGGGCAGTGTCTCCCTCAAGTGGGTGTTGATGGTGGTCATGGTCAGCACCGTGGTGATCCCTTAAAAAAACAATTGTAATTTTTGCAAGACATCTTCAATCAACACGTCATCTTGTCCCACTTCATAAAATTATATTAAAACAAACTCTTGCATCCTGTTCTCTTAGTATCTCAGCATGTACCCTAGTGTCTGTCTCACTCTCTTAGGATCTATCTTTAGAACTTAGTCTCTTAGACACTGATGTGAGATAAATAAACTGATTTCCTAAGAGTAACTATACTAAGGTATGAGATACATAGTTAATAAAATAAACACGAAGATACTTTCTACCAATATGTTGGCAGTCAGTATCTTACTTAGTAACTAAGTACTTCATCAAAATGTCAGCCATTCCCTGGGCAATTGGAACTTCTCTCCAGGTGTAGTTGACTTCTTACTTTGCGTGTTAGTCTTGAAAATTTACAGCTTGTCATCAGATTCAACAACTCCTCGTATTTATGAAATAAAAACTTAAATTATCCACCTGTAGCAAAGTAAAAATGAAGCTGATTGGCCTGCTGACTGCAGGCGTCACGTCAGAGTCTCCAGTAACACCAGAAAGAGTCGCTAGATTTGTCGCTAGTCGCTTTTGACCAAAAAAGTCACCAAGAGGATTCGGAAAGTCGCCACATTTAGCAAGAAAGTCACTAAGTTGGCAACACTGTGTGTGCCGGCGGGTGTCGCACATCGGCGGTTGTGACGCATACTTTGAGAGACAAAACAAATTAAACACATTTTATTTCAATGCTACAAGTTCACCATAATCTTCAAATTTAGAATTACACTCTAAAAACTATCAAACTAAAATAAAATACATTTATATTAAATAATCATTATTTATTTTCCAAAACCACAAGGAGCCGCAGCAGAGGTATGACAGAGCCAAATGTGGCTCCGGAGCTGCCAACCCCTATACTATGGTGTTTTTAATTGACATACTACAAGATGGCTTTTTAATTTTTTTTTTAACTACATGCTATACTGTGGTATTTTTGATCAACATCCTACTGTGTGGCATTTTTGTATTTCTTTCTCTGGTAACTGTTGGCATCTGGGATGGTGTCTTTGAAGCTTAATTAGTCCAAACCCGTCACGGTGTAAACTAATTTTAAAGGAGTTCACTTTAACTGAAGCTGCGGTCTTGTCCGACCTTAAGGTTACATTGTAGGAAACTCCAACAGATGTTACTATAGAAACAGGGATATTTTTATGTTTGTTGTGCAGCTGTTTCTCTGCTAGTTAAGAGCAGGATTGACCCAGTAGAAAGGAATAATTATGTTGCACTGGGATTGCCTTCTTTAAGTGCTGAAGAAACAGTGATGGGTGAAAAAAAAACGTAAAAAACTGCAGAAAACACCTTCTCATCTCGTTCATGTTTGATCTTATTTTACTTGCATGAACACACATGTGCTGGTAGGGGGGGTGCATAACCTCTGCTTCATTGAAATTCAAAGGTCTGCCACCAAACAGCCAACTGCCCCTTGGTCATCAAGTAGAAATAACTCATTAGAATAGCGCTGCATGTATCTTGCCCCCAGCTCTTGGTAACCTTAACCACTGGGCGTTGTTATTTGCTCTCCTACTGAATTCACCTTCACATGCTGTGTGTTTCAGCAGAAAGAGATGCCAAGAAAGACTCGTACATTTCTAGTCAAACACTGAATCGGCAGAGGGTTAATATGTGTGCGGCGGCCAAAAGGACTCAACTCGCTGCAACAAGCAACGAGAGATTCCTCCGACTTACAACACGTGCAGCGTTAAGGCAAGAAAACAAGCGCGGGATCGCTACAATTTAAGCACAATAGAAATGATTTCCTAAACACGCTCAAATCGTATTCCAGCTCTGCTACCAGTCATTTATCTTCTCGCATGATGCAGCAAATAAACACAGGTCTCACCCATATTCATACAAACCGTGACCTCCCGCAATGCAATAACACTCTATCTTATCTCATTATATATACAGCAGACGTATCTCTACTACTTTATCTACCCGTGCTGGAAATAAATGGAGCCTATCAGTAGTGGGGCTGCTCATATAACACACACGGACAAGGCTTTTGGTGTGTGTGTGTGTCGTAAAGTACAGTGAAGAGACAAGGAGCAGTCAGGAGGCTGGGAGGAGGCAGCAGGATAGCTAAGGTCAATCTAGCCCTTAGTGTGATTTATTGGCACATTACAAGGCCAACACCACTCGTGTGTGTGTGTGTGTTGCGGGTGTGAATGTAGCTTGGCTATACGTGCACATGCTCCGTGTCTTTGCCCCTATTGGACGGTGCAATCTATGTGTTTTTTTTTTTTTTTTTTTTTTGTGCACTCAACGACAGCCTTGTTCTTTATAGGTGTTCTCTCAGCTGTACCATTACTCTCTGTCCTTCACTCCCTCCCTCTATTCCTCTTCTTCTCTTTTGCTGCCTCCCTCTCTCTCCCCGTTCAGACAATTTAATCAAGGGGCCACGCGCCCATGGGCCTCCCTCCTTTTTCATCACCATGCTACACTCTCCGGGGAGAAATATAGTTTCACCCGGTTTCTCTCACTCTCTGTCTTTTCCTGTCTCTCTCACCCCTACTCTCTGTCTTGTTCCATTGTTCTCTGCTTCTTCCTCTTATCTCTCCCCCCCTCTCCCTCTTCATCTATCCGCCAGATCTGACCATCATTTAGCGGCGGTTTCCCTCTTTGCTCACGCTGCACCTCTCATCCGTCCCCCTCCCCCTTGCTTTTTCTTATATGTCCCCGAGTCGCTTTTCCACCTTAACAGCTGGAACAAAGGCACACAGCAATCAAATGTCCTCTAATCAAGAGCCGACAGGCCATTAGCGGCACGGCTCAACATTATGAAACGAAAAAGGTATCATGTAGATGCAATAAAATGAGGTGAAATGGTGAATGTTAACCGCGAGACTAGAGGCATGGGAGGTAAATCCAAGCAGTGCTAATTGAACATTTCAATTCATCACCTACAGACTGCAAAAAAAAATCTAGTTAGCATGCAGTGTTTCAAGACTTGCTATATTGGGAGTCTGTGTGGCTTAGAAAGACGAGGTTTCAGGAAGAACATATCTCAACCTCGTGAGTCTACCATTACACTAAAAGTATTCCTGCACCAGCTAATGCCCACACCTTGACTGTTTGTATAATATGATTATGAACGAAGGGCATGACTGTGGGAAATGGCTCGCAACCAGATTAGGGTGCGAGCGGGTAATTTGTAACTTTGCAATCCTTCGAAATTGCTCAGGAAAATGAGATTCTCCTTCAAACAATTCAATTGTTTGCCTGCTGCCTCCTTGAATTGATTTCCCCCTGATCATTACACTGCTCTTACTGGCAGGTTTGCACACACAAAAGAGCAACCCACACACACACACACACACACCCTCTTCTACAATCAAGATACCTGCTGAAAGCTCAAAATGGTCCATCAGGAAAAGTAAATGGACCTCTGGCTGCCTCTCAGCTGTGGAGGCGCACACCGGATATTGCAGCTCAGAGACGCACACGAAAACAGACGTACACTCTAAGGCACACGATAATGACCGGATATTGCATGCATGCCTTAATGAAAGACACCGAGTGGTAAAGCAGATAAAAGCATGTGCACAGGCATGCAACACACACACAGCATAACACAGAAAGATGCTACAGTAATATAATGGATCAAGGCATGTTTTCCAAAAAAGCATCATGCTGTGTTAAGGTCAATACTGCTCCATTATCTATCCATATAAAGATGATTGAAGCACCAATGCAGCAATCAATTGGCATAACTAGATTGAACTGTTTGGCCCCGGGGCTAAGATTTACTGCTGGGCCACCTATCTGTAGCCCTGTCGCCTGAAAGTTTCCATCAAGCACATCCTGCCGACTGGTTCCAGCTTCTCAAATTGAACAAATAGCTGTTTTTCCCTTGGCTTGCATAACTGTAAACTCGGACAAGAAATTTGAGAAGGTCACCTCAAAACTGCTCAATCAATCAAGCAGACAAATTAAAGTGTAGATATATATTCAAACCTTTAGCTGCCAAAAACTGTGAAACAGTGAATCTGGGGCTTCAGGGGGCCTTTGGAGGCCTGGACTCCTTTGGCTAATTTGTCTGGCTGGTAGGATTACTTCTCAGCTGCTTCTGCTTAAATAGTCAACGAAGTGGAAAAAAAAAAAAAATCCAGGTTCTGTAATAAAAGTTTAACATGCAAAGCTATGGGTGAGCTTCCATTGCATCATTAGTTTGGTGTCTTTAGAAAAGTTTTCCAGTTGCAGGGCATTTGCTGCATAAATAGTTTGGATTCTTGCCAGTTTAGAGAACCTTCTTTCTTCAGTGTAAAACAGCACCGAAATAGTCCCTGGCAGAAATCTGAAAACTTAAGCTGGATCCAAACTCCTACATTATCTTCAGCAATGAGACATCTTGCTCAAACAAAGCTCTCTTCTCACACTAGGTGCACAACATGTGAAGTTTTTCTGATTGAAATAATCAACATGAGCTCCACAAATTCGCCAAAAACACACTCGTGATGTAGGTCTGTTTGGGAAACTTCATGTTATCTCAGGCAACACTGACGAGGGAATCTGAGGTGTAACCTTCTATAAGTTAGACGAAACTCTGATAGCATCCACGCATAGCTCACTGGAGAAATTAGGGTTGCGTAATGTACTGTTTCAGCATCGTCACCACAATGTAAAAACAATTGTACTCTTGTCAGCAGTGTCAATTATTTTCAAAACATGAAGCAACCGGAAAGTCGCCGATTTGCCCGGGATCTTTCTGCGTGGAGTTTGCATGTTCTCCCCGTGCAGCGTGGGTTCTCTCCGGGTTCTCCGGCTTCCTCCCACACAGTCCAAAAACACATTGAGGTTAATTGGTGATTCTAAATTTTTCCGTAGGTGTGCTTGGTTGTCTGTCTCTAAGCGTAGCCCTACGATAGACTGACGACCTGTCCAGGGTGTCCCCTGCCTTCACCCTAACTCCAGCCCCCCACCCCGCAACCCTAGTGAGGACTAAGCAGTGTATAGAAAATGGATGTATAGATGAAGCAACACAACTAATTCTGTTTGCTTCTGGACAACAAATGCAAATCTGAATGCAGCCCAGACAAAAGAAACTTTCACATGCCTTTATTAGTGTCACACCCTGTGAGAACACTTTCAAACAGTCGAGACAAACTGCTGATGTGAAAGACCAAGTATCAGTTAGCACTGTTACCAAAACTGGTTTTTAAAACCAGTCACTTGACAAGCGGTATGTCACACCATCACGCTCTTATTTTTCTCAAGTTGCTAAAGCATAAATGTAACACCCAAGTTGCAGCAGAGTTGTGAAAATTGTGGTAGCGTGTATTAACGTAGCAACAACACACTTATGGTCCAACTGGACACTTGACCCCTATACAGCTCTTACTGCCCAGTTTATTTATGATGACTTCGAACTAAAAAGTCAAATTTCAGCGGGGATGAGAGAGCCGTTGGGCCTCAATGACAGACATCAAGTCCAGCAACAGATAATGCAGTGAACATGATGCTTTTGCTTCAGCCACAGACTGCATCTTGCAGTTGGTAAGATGCTGTTGCTCCAAGAGCGTGTGGTAAAACCACTCCCTCACGTCCGTCCAGACAATTTATTCAGGTCAAGCTAAAACTGGCTCATTGTTGTTCAGAGGGGGAAGCTTAGCAACTGCTCAATGAACAGCGTGAGATACAATTACAACTGCTTGGTGTGAAAATTCCGTTTTTCAATTGCATTTTTAGACATGACACTAACAGCCTTTATCTCTGTTACTCCTGTCTGATGTGTCATTGAGTCAACAATCCACCAAGACAAGCTCGTGCTGCTGCCTCCTGCGAGGAATAAATGATTACTAACCAGTGACCTGCTACTTCAATCTCTGCCTTGTTTACTGCTCACAGGGGCTCCGTGGTGAGTGGGCCTTTGCACCCACACATGCGCTCCTCAATAAGAGGTGAAATTATGCTCATTAGAGATGTGATGTATTTATAGCTCCTGAAGGCCTCTCAGTGACCACAACAACTACAGACGCAAGGTATGACCTAGTTTGGTCCTGTGTTCAGACTTTTGCCCTGCAGAAAAGAACAACGGACAAAAAAACATTCCACTATGGCAGAGAGAACAGCGGTGTTCTTCAACTCTAATTCCACTTAAACCACTACTCTACAAGCCATTCCCTATAGTTCACACGGGACAGAAGTTGAGTCTCTCGCAGTGCTCATGAAAACACACCGCTTGGGGAAATCCACTGGGGAGGAAAGGGGGGGCCTGTGGTTTGTATTGGTCCCTGACCTCATCTGAGAAAGCCAAATACCTGCTCTGTAGCAGCCACTTCTTCTTACCTAGAGCCACTCTGGCTGCCGACGCGTCATAGTTTATCCAGAAGGAGACCCAGGAGAGGATGGTAATCAGGATCGATGGCATGTACGTCTGCAAGATGAAGTAGCCGATGTTCCTCTTCAGCTTGAAGCTTAGAGACAGTCGAGGGTAGGCACCTACGAAAAGATGTGACAGAGAAACGGCATTTGCGATCTTCTCTGTGAGAAATAAAACATATAGGAGGTGTGGCTGTGCAGAAAACAAAACGACTCAAGTACATCACGTTGAGCTCATTAAAAAACATAACTTGAAGCATTTTAAACTAACTGTAAAAACAACATCGAACTTTGTTATTCTGAGGAGCACGCAGGGACACCTTGTGTTTTTGTTTCAGTTTCCATGACAACCCCGACAGCATGGGTTGGATTTATCGCCATGGTAACAAGTATTCCCTTCATGAGCACAAACCAACACACTCTCTCTCTCACACACACACAAAACTAACCCTCTTTCCCGTTGATGTGACACAATATTCAGGATAGCGATAAAAAATTCACATTTTGATTTATCAATTCTCTGCATCTCATCCACCTACATAATTCATATGAGGATTCTGAAGGGTTCAGCATTAGAACAAAAATACCAGCTTTGGAAATGCATGTGGAAGTGCTTCTGATGCCTCTCAAGTGGGCAATTTTAAATGATCTGCTATGAGAGAGCATTTTTCTTCATGTTTCCATGAACTTGAATATAAATGTATCTGTGTGTGTGTGTTGGTGCATGAACCTGATATGAAAGGCGACGTGTAATTTCTCATCAATCTCCCAGAGTCATGGCTTTATGTGGATTGCATCTATGGCTCGTTACTCCTACTATTTTTAGCCATTCTTTTCCATTTTCGTTTCATATTGGAAGAGTAGGGGGGGTCCATTATGCTGTAATTTCCAGTCTGTGGGTTTCAGCCAAAGCTACTTGTGGCAAGCGTGGGTCCAATCAACTGCAAACCCGTGCAGAGTTGGATCGAGAGTCACTTTGAAAAAACACCCAATCTCATTCAGATGCAATGACTGCTGTATGTTAGACTGCAATAGAAACGGTCTTATTTAAAAAACAGGCCATTCATCAAATGCCGTTAGACTGTAATTGCTGTTGACTGATTTGACACTAAAAGCACTCAGCACCCAGTTTTTGTATCACGAAGTGAATTCTGGCAGTCAAGTTGGTGTGTTATAACCATACAAGTGCCCACATGAAGTTATTAGACTCCCTAAATGATGCCGCACTGGTTGCCTAAAATCTTTTAGTTGTGTTAGCTGTGCAATGTTGGTCAAACATTTGGTCGACCACTTGGGGCCAGATTGAAAAACAAGATATTCATCCTCTTGTGAAATTTTGAACAGACATTCTTGGTATTCAAATGGTGAATCGTAATCATTGGCTGTGTCCGAAATCACCCACTCACTCCCTACTCCCTATATAGTGATCACTATATAGGGAGCACCTCGGCAAAGCATCATTTCAGACACGACTCGAGCTATTAATTACGTCGCTCACTAGCCGCGATTTGTGCTGCAACAGCGAAGTACAAACACATCAAATTAACAGTTTATTGCGTAGCTAAGAAATCAAATTAAATCAAGTTTATTGTCATTTTGCTGTACATACCAGATGAGAGAGCGTTTCTTCAGGATCCAGTAACTAAAAGCAATTTAAATAAAGTGGTGTAGTATGTCCAAATCACAACCGAGCACCGCAATTTTAGCAACGTTCACTGTCCGGGTTAAATAAAATTTAACAAAACAAACAGGAATTTTTCCGCGCTCTCGTTCATCTCCATTTCCATTTCCTTTCGCGCAATGCATGACGGTCCATATTGCTCGGTTAGTGACCATCGGCTGTACACTACTTTTCAAGGTGCATTGTGGGATATTTTGAGTGCACTATATAGGGTGTAACATTTGTAACTTAACATTCGGACACCCCTACAAAATGGCGTGCACCCTATATAGTGCACTATGTAGGGCATAGGGAGTGATTTCGGACACAGCCATTGTGTTACTTTTTAACTGAAAGAGCTTCCAGGAACTGCGGTGCTACTTAGCAAACACTAGCATCATAGTAATCATGAAAATTATATCTGCCAAACATGAGAATGCCTCTTTCAACATGTTTAGAATGATTAAAAATTCTGAACTTTTAACGAAAAAGCGAGGCCCTGAACTCAATACAACAAGCAACGACGCTTGTTGCTATAAACCACTTGATATTCACACAAATGGAGTTAATCTTCAGAAGGGATGAAACCGTTCTTTGAGAAACTCAAAGAAAAAACAAATCATCGCTACTAAATATTCGCATCAAAGCCGAACTATAACTAAGCATGTACTGCTTGGCTGTGTTTGGCATGGATTGAAAAATGGAAAAAGACTGTGAGGGGTGAAGAGAAGAAAGAGGGCAGACAAAAAACTACATACGATGTCCCATTTCATGCTGAAAAGAAGCATTTAAAAATACATCTGACTAAGATGAAGACAAGTGCAGAGTCAAGTACAGGAGCCTTCAGATTCTCTCAACATCACCACAATATAAATTCAAGGCAAATTCAAGGTAGATTTGTTTGACACACTGCTTAATAAGTTTGTTTTGAATCTCATTCACTCCAGTTAAGCGCTGTCAATACTCTGTTTAAGTTAACTGCTAACATCTGATATTTTGTTATATATGAGGTATAATGTGATTTTGTTGTATCCCCCTCGGACTCTGATGGAGGTCCTCAAAGTAACTGTGAAGGATATTTTGGCAGCCTGTCATTCTGCCGGTCAAGATATGCTTCTTCACCTCCTCTAACGTCGGCCTGACAGCTGATATCTGAACTCTGCATCAGACTTGGTTTAAGTATGGAGGTATGCAGTTGAAGGAATATTAATTAGCATGTTTTAAAACATTTGTTCATTTAAAAAAATAAATAAATAAAATAAAAATCTGTCCTATTTTCTCTTTTGACAGATTGATAGCTGTAGCCCTACAGCTTACATACATTCGTAGCAAATAGTCCCTTCTTAAAGGAATCTATTAAAATACTTATGTACCTCAAGGTGACAGCTGCTTTAGATAAAGCACTACTCTGTAGTCAGTTTATAATGTATATATATGAAAATATATTCACAACAAAGGTCTACACCGATCATCAACAGACCATCTTTCCTTATACACAGCGAACAGTTTGCGCTGGGTTTACCATATATCCATACCCCATATCACAGTCACATTTACATAATGTATGATAAATGTATGTTACTGCCATTACCATAAATATTCTGTCTGTAGCTGGTGCAGCTATTTCATGTTTATGTACCCAGTGGTGGTAAGGTCTAGAAAAACCTGGCAGCATCTGCCAATGTAAACACAAAATTGCATGCATGTGTTCTACATTTTCAGCAGCAGTAAGGGTTTGCTTGAAATCACTGGCATGAGCAGCACAACTGACAAAATCAAGGTAAAATAACAAAAACTAATTAAAGACTCAGGAAAACATGGGCGCTATCCTCCAGATATGCAAAGTGTTTAAAGACGACGAGGAGTCAAACAGATGAGGCTCTTTTTTTCTGGGATGAGCAGGTTTCTGTTTCATACACTTAGTGGAAAATATCACTACAGTAGTTCTTGGTCTTGCTTTATGAGCAAAGCAGGCAAAAAATGTTACTAAACAAGAAGCTTGCGGATGATCACTTTGGGTTCCATTACTGGAAAAAGGTGTTGATTGTTTCTGAGTGGGGCTGCAAGGTGGCACAGTTGGTAGCACTGTTGCCGCGCAGCAAGAAGGTCGCCGGTTCGCATCCCGGTGGGGGCACCGGAATCTTTCTGCGTGGAGTTTGCATGTTCTCCCCGTGCAGCGTGGGTTCTCTCCGGGTTCTCCGGCTTCCTCCCACACAGTCCAAAAACAGGTTGAGGTTAATTGGTGATTCTAAATTGTCTGTAGGTGTGAATGTGAGTGTGCTTGGTTGTCTGTCTCTAAGTGTAGCCCTGCGATGGACTGGTGACCTGTCCAGGGTGTCCCCTGCCTTCACCCTAAGTTGGCTGGGATAGGCTCCAGCCCCCCCGTGACCCTCGTGAGGATTAAGCGGTGTATAGAAAATGGATGGATGGATGTTTCTGAGTGATATTGTATATATTAAAATGTGTTTAATGTAGCTTCTTACACAGTTTTGGGGGCTTGTTAAGGCATAAACATCCTTCAAATTGCACAAATTATAAAACCGGTCACTTAATTTTTACCTTAGTCGGCCATTCATTTCATAATTCAGGTGACTGTTTAGGAGCAACTTTCTGTTTTTCAAGCAAGTTGGTCAAGGATTTAAAGAACTAAATCCTAAATCATCCCTTAACCACATTAGCATTTTCAATCTTCCAGCCCCTTAAATGTAAAACTTTCATTTCAAGGAACAAATTGCCTGCAAAGTTATTCTGTCATTTTTCTAACTGTTAGCTCCTAATCCATGAGGAACAACTTGCAAAAACCTCAAAGAGCAACTCGCTGCCAAGCTCATATAAATTCACAATCTGTGCCTTATTTATCACATTACATGATCCTCCTATATTTGGCTCCTTATCAATAGTTCTGCTACTTGTGAACAAACTCGACACCCCGCCGCACATACACTTCATTACAGTGTGAATATGGGAACAGACTGTGGCACGTCTTAAAATAGCCCATTCACTCCTTGTGATGCATCCTTAATGGCAGCTCCTGCAGCCTAAAATCGGAACAGAGTATCTCCGCGGTAACAGATGCAGAAGTGGCTTAAGAAAAGAAGGAGGCTGAGGTTCACTCGTGCGTGGGTGTAGAACTGTACGGGCTGTAACTGCTACACCAAACAACATCGACGAGTGGGAGGAACACCATGTGTGAGGCCGAGGAGAAGAGGGAGGACGAAGAGGAGGAAAAAGGAAAAAAAAAAAAAAAGTTGAGCTGATGATGACAGCGCAACAATAGAGTCTGGGAGGACGACTGGGTAAGATGGGAGCGCTTGAAGAGTAGGAGGTCTCTCTCTTTGCGCTCATCTCTTTTGTCACACTGATGGCAGGGATGTTGCAGTGGAGGTTTACAAGAAACCAGAGACTGTGCTGTAACCAAAGGCAGTTTAGACGGCGCAACAAAACAAAACTTTGACAGATTCGCTGACCTCAGACATGTTAGTTCCAGGCTGCACTGGTTCAGTTAAGTTTGATTTCTGAGTTTAGCCTTTCCAAACGACTAAAAACAAACAGGCAAAAGCAAAACCAATGGATGAAATAGTGTTTGTCTGCACCAACAGAAGCTGCCATACGACCTATGGAAGCAACCTAACCTACAGTTTCTATGCAGAACAAGGATCCATCAGTAATATGTTGTGGAGTTACAGGTTAAAAAGCCCCTTTTCACCAAAATACATCCACTGATAATGCCAGGCTGTCAAATCTGCTCCTGGATGCCACTGGATCAAAGTTTAGGCTAATGTTAGTGCTCTCCCCAGATGCTTTTTATTGCATCTGGAACAGGAATCCCAGCTGAAGTCGTCATCCAAAACAGTGTTATATCAAACCTGACACATTTGTCTACATCATTAGCATCAACAGCTTGCTTTTCCTCACGCTGTCTGCCCATAAACACAAGTTAAAGCATATTTTGACGCTTCAGGTCATTTTTTTCTGCATAAGATCAATATAACTACACTGACTGTATGCTGGGCTCTAAGGCTACATCCACAATAATACATTTATGTGTGTCTTCCACATTACTCCAGAGTGTTAGGATCCCTGAAACAAAAGATTGTAGGAAACCCTGCTGACCCTGTTTTAGATTAAAAATTCAGAGGGTACGTCCTCTGTCGCATTTCCTCCAACTAAACAACTAACACCCTATTTAATGTTCATACTGGTCCAGTGTACACGAAAGGCATGTTAGTATGCATAGTGATTGTTTTTTAAATTTTTTTTTTTTATAAACTGCATATGCTGTACAAGAAACACAGCCAAAAGATGCAGCACTCGACTGGACTCAGCAAACAATTACTGCCTTTATTAAAGTTAGGAAACTCATTACCTTAAATAAATATGATCTTTTAAATAAAAAAAATCTTTCAGAGTTGAGAGCTTCTTCAGAACAATGTCGTACTTGTATGTATGAAGTCTGTGTCCACTATTCATTCTAAATGAATCTCAGGGCTACATTAATTAAAAATTAGGACTTTCGGGGCTATTTTCAAAAGCTGTTAACGAAGCATTTCATGTTTTCTAAAGCACACAAACCTAAAGGAATATTAAAGAGCCTACCCTGTCAAATTACAGCTAAATGATCAAATATAAATGATGCTAAATATTTAAAGTTGTTATTATTGCAGCTATCTTAATACAAGTGAGGATGAAGATGATGAATCTGATTGTTGCTTTGACAGTGAATGCTGCCCAAACTCAAATGTCACCTAACTCCAGAACATGTGGTCAAACGTGCATCTGTATATGAACATGTAGCCTGCATGTACACACCAACAGGCAGTGTTTGTAAGTGTGCTTGGAGGAGAATAATTGATGTTGTGGGCCTCATTCCACATGAATATATGATGCCCTGAATCCTGGGCTGTTTTTCTGTCAGAGAGCAGGATAATTGGCATCCAACCTCACCTTTAACAAGTGAGAGGAAAAGTTAATACTGAAGAAAGGAAAACAGGAGGAAGAACGAGAAGTGATGAGCGAGAGGCAGCGAGGACACAGATCGGAAGACAGGAAAAGGGAGAAAGTAAATAAAGGCTGACTAGTGGCACATGTAATGGAGGAAATCTGGTCATTAGCCAGCCTTGCAGGGAGCCTTTGATGTGCTTCACACATCCATCCAAGAGCACGGGAGCAGACCACTGGACACTAAACTTTAATAGTTACCACCCGCGAGGGACATGCCGCTCCTCGCAAACAAGTGCACTCCGGAGCATTCGCGTTGGCACATCGACGTGAGATTCACACGTGAAAGAAGAGACACCCGTGCGTGGTGCACAGCCAGGAATGCAAGGCGGCACATGTGCAACATTGGCAGATGCAGGCACACAGCAGAAATGAGGGCAAAAGCAAAAAGGACGCGGAGACACTTGTGGAAAGACTGACAGGGGAGAAAATACAGCATCACCACAAAAAGAAATGGTAAAAAATACCCGAAAAGGAAACAAAAGAGTGATTTACTGTCCTTTTCAGAGCAGTTTTGGCTTTTCCTCCTGAGCATCACTTCCATCAGAAATAATGTTATTACTAAATGTCACACAGCTTTTATTTCCCCACTACAGCTCCGGAAGACTCTGAATGTGTCTCTGCTGACCAGATTATATGGTAGCTGGTTAGGGAGCGTCAATAAAGTTCTCTATCTTGGCATAAATGTACACATAAAAATATGATTCATTGGTGTGCGACACATAAAAATCAAAGTTCACAGCGTATATCAGAATACCCCCGAGGGAGATGAAGCTTGCTGAATGACTCGTCTGCGCTGCGACAATACAAATTAATTACAACATGAAATGTGATACGGTAAATGTTTTTCACATACAGTAAGTTGACAAATTGCCTCGACGTGTCCCCTGTCTTCTAATTACTTGCCCTGATAGATGAAATGCTGCAAAGAAAATGGCTGTTCATTGTCATTCTATAAATAACACTTGATTGATGTGTTTCGCTACAGCAGTTAATGACGACGCCACTGTCAAAAGATTTACAGGCGTCTTGTTTTCCCGAGCATCAACGTTTCATCAGAGGTTTGGGGAACTCAAATATCAAGTGGTTTATAGTGATTGCTTTTTTTCACTGTCACCGGTATCACTGGAGGTTTTTAAATGAGGACAAAAAGCCTAAGATAGAGCTAAATGATTATATATATTGAGGTTGGATAAACTTTGCCTGCATGTGTGATCATTTTAAACAACAAATCAGGAAAGAAAATGAATTCAGAAAACAGAATTTCCCAATGTAAGGAGTGGGCTCTTGGATGAAATGACGTATTTCTAGTTTTGCTTTTTTTAATGCTCAGTTGTTCTGACTTCTTTCCAGGCACCAATTAGAACGGGGCAACATTTAACTTAAATCTGAGGACAGTTATACAGTTATCTATGTAGCGAACGCTTTGATCAGATTGATCACACAGTCCTGATGGAGCAGATCTGCCGGGTTTCTGTTAGCGTTTTCATAAATAATAACTCAAGCTGCCTTTTGAACAAGCTTTATCTTGGAAAGCTGTTTAATTAATTATGACGAACATTCCAGAGAAATACTTCAGTTTTTAAAAGCAAGTTTTCAGGGCCAGGTTGTTGCCAATTGATTATATTGACTAAATGAATTGATCGGTGTCTTGAGCTACATTCAGTCAGCACGACAACCAAACCAATGATTTGTACGTCCCCTCTCGAGGTCAAGAACCACCTGACGTGGACATCATTTACTACCTAATTTCCGACATGTTTTGGTTAAGTACCATTGTAGCATGCTTGCATCAGCTGCTGCTACTTGAGGGATACTTCAAAGGCAGCGCATTTCCTCATTTCAACCCAATTAGAAGCACTGACAAACACAACTTTGGCTCTGAGGATTTAAGATCAACAGATCAAGCTTTGGCACAGATATGTTTGCTACAGAAATTGATGAAATAATCAGCTTGAATACAGTATGAACAATATGATATAGAATGTAACATTTACTTGTTCACCTGGCTTGAAAGCCCATAAAGCTTCGAAACCACACACACAACATGTTACAGTTCAGCATTTACCTGTGGAAAAGACTACGTTTCTGGACACCAGCTTGTAATCAACAATGGAGAACTGAGGCAGCTCGATCCGTGTCACCCCCGTTACAGCCGACTCGCCTCCTTTCCAGTAGAACTCAATGTCATCTGTGGTGTAGCCATCTGCACAAGAAGAAACACACGAACATGCACCAAGGTGTAACCATCTGTCTAACCATCACTGGAGACCAAGATATGCAGCGTCGCTGATCATCCAACTGGGCTGTCATTTGGGAAGAAAAAAAAAAAACATGTTTGAAGTTGTTTTCAAGAACCAGACGTTGCTTTGAAAAGCAAGTCATTTCATAGGTTCATTTGGGTTCAGAAAAATGTCATAAGATTTAAATAATTGATATGACCACTGTCATTGGTAGGCCTTGCTTCATTTTTGAAAATCAGATTTTGATTATTCTAACACAAAAACATCTGAGACACTAGTTACAGCTCACCTTAAACTGCATGTTTTCTATCACATCCTATAGTTGGTGTTTCCAGGCGTGAATGAGAGCCTGATTAGAAGGTAAAGTGATGATATCTTTAGGACCAGTACTGAAATTCACTGTAAAATGCTGAGTCACCATAAGACGTTTGCATTACCTTAACTAAAAAAAAATAATTAAAATAGTGACTGCAGCATAAATATGTAAAACCTCAAACTTAAAGCTGCTCTCATGAACAGTTTATTGTTGCTTTGTGTGTGTTTTTTTGAAATCAACAATGGATCAGCAATCTGTGTGAGGGCATCAGGATCACTCAATGACAATTCCACAGAGAATTATTACTCAACAACGCAGCTTCTCTCCGCTCAACGTAGCACCTTTCAAATCGTTTTGGTTTTACAGCCCACACTATATCTGTTATGGTTCAACTCTTACTCATCAAACCTGCTAACGGCCACAGTAGGCAGCTATTACCTATGAAAAAAAGCTCAGATGAAGTCACCACCATCCCAGCACCAAACAGTGGATAGTCAAAGGTAGTAGCTAGCCAGTTAGCCACGTATTTCCCTCAGTAGATAGTGAAAACCCAATCGAGTATTTACATGAATCAGGTTAGAGCTTAACAATTAATTCATTTCAAATGAAAATTACAATATCAAACAAAAAAAATCACAAAGGCTGCAACTTTGGTTATACTAGATGTGGTTATTAATGAGACTTATGCTGTAACTCAATCTTATTTTATTTCTAGCAGATCAAGACTTTAAGGGGTTGTTTATGTTGTTGACTGCATAATGTATACTATGTGGTTCAGGCATGCACGCCGAGGTTTGACATTTGTATTTAATCGCAACCTTTTGCAGCACAGCTGACCCAGAGTTTAAACTGTTGTGTCAGCGGTTGTACAAATTTGTGTCATCCTCAGATTTAGATATTTTCCCCAGACTGACTTAAATCAGGTGGAGTGTAAATGAATGCTTGTGCTGGTCAGTCTCTGCTGGCTGTGTGAGCCATTTGCAAACAAGTTAGTCACACCAATGTTGAGCTTACAGTTTATTTTGGCTGCTCTTAAGGTGGCCAAAAATAAATGATCATATTAATGCTTCTGGTGCAGCCACAGTTTACTATTGGAATTGGAATGGAACTTTTACCCACACAGAATCTCTGGATGTAGGCCAGTACTATTTTTGCTTTAGTGCTGCTACACACTTTGCGAGAGGCTGTTCTCCTCCTTAAGACTGTAGCTGCTACACTCTCTCTCAGCAAAGAGAACCAGAACCAGTGAGCAACAAGGGACACGTGGAAGATGGATGTTGAATTTATGAATGAGCCAATCTATCATAAACTTGCGCAGTTGTATGAGGTTCTTCTGTGGTGATGAAAAGAGCTTTATAAAATCTGACAAAAACAACCCTTGTGGTGCCGCCAGGGTTATCTCAACTTGGGCTTCAGATCCACACATTTATAGCTGAGAGCTTGAATTTGAATTTGTTGGAACAAATCTTTTTTTTTTGTGTGTCTCTTACAAGGACCCAGTCTTCATAGATGCACGGTATTAAATAAACGAAATGAATGAATGTCACTAATCATAGCATCAGGTAAACCTATCCTTCTGGTACAAACAAATGCTGCAAAACCGAAAAGAAAAATGAAGTCCGACACGGTTTTTATTCAGACATTTCACACAAGAGACGCTGAGCCTTTGTGCTGTGTGGAATGGTCAGCCCTGAAGGTATTAAGGCCTCTCTACTCACAGCTTTCTATCTCCAGAGTGCAGTTCTGTTCGTCCAGGGGATACCTCCTGAGATCCATCATACACGCCGCTGTGGTAGTTATCCTGAAAAAGACACACGGACAGAGGGGACGGAGAAAGAATGTATTTTAGATACTGCATTACAAGAAAGACAGATAGAAAGAGAGAAGGGAATAGCCCGTTCACAATGTTGTAAAAACAGCAGTGCAGGTAAGCAGCTGCAGCATAAGGGACTGTGGAAAGACAATTAGATTAAAGCATTAAGGGGATTCACTTTGGCTTTCATCTTTTAAGGAAACTAAATGTCCATTTGTCTTTTCACCAAGTTCCTCGGCTGGCTTCATATTACCGGAGACTATTGGCATTGTCATCTTAAAATAAGATTATTGCGCCGCCTCCAAGTTAAAATGCTGACTGTGTAACTGTATACATAATGATGCTATAGATCACAGGCAGACAAGCAGTCCACGCTTTTTGATTCCTCTTCGCAAAAAATCTGGCTGCCCTCCATCCTGTGATTAAGGGGGAAAAAAAATTGGTGAAAATATAAAACATATTAACACATTTTGGCAGAGTTTACAGCCTGAACTGGGTCATGAGGAGGTATCCCTTTGTTTATCAGATGTGCGAGCTCAAACGGCTGATAATCAGACAGTTAAAATAAGCAGCAAAGTGAAATGCAAATTCAAAATGATTTAGGCTAAGTCTGGCCTGATTAAAAGCCGGCTGCTTGGCAGTTAGCCACTGGATGTCTTCATTCAGTTAAGACTCAGATGAGGCTGTGGAAACTCATTAAGGGATATCATACGGCTAAAATTACAGCGACGTAACATGATGGTCCGCAACACACTCACATATAGAAAACACTGTACGGTAGAGATCATATAGATTTTATAATTCTAATATTCCCTTGAAATTGATATGAATATGGATGCCTGTCTGCTAATAATAAAAGATCTGGAAATTAAAATCAAATACTCGATTGATAAATGGAATATCTTTGGGCATGGAGTCCCAAAGTGTTCAATATTAAATCAACATATGATGTAATGAAATAAATACACCACATGAACAGAGCATGTACAAGAAAGAAAGAAACTCCTTGAACATTATAAACAGAGGTCGCTCCATCATTTTAAAGTCTATCATTATATTAGAAAGAAAGAAAGAAAAGGGGCATTTTCTCATATAAAGTTCTGTAGCAAATTAAAACAAAAACCTCATGGCTGTATATATGAACATCGTTGGACACTTACAACGTGCACTTATGACTATTTCCCCTAATAAACAGCACACACGCAAATAGAGGGCATTCCGTACTACCCCGATACAAATCTGTATTCAGCATGCTACTCCGGTTTACCTGACATTCATTTATGTAACAGCTCATATCGCAAACACCACGTCACACATCTCCCTCTGCCTTTGATCTCCTGAAAGCATTGAGAGGTCTATAAGTAGCCCACAAGGCTAAATGCTATGAACTCCACTTGCATAATCAAGCATGGCTGTTTGACTATAAAGTATGAACACTGACAGATGCAAACACAAGCGTGCAAGTACACATCCCAACACACACACACATGCACACTTTTTTGCTTTGCATTCTAATAATTCAAAGCTTGCATCCATATTCATAGGTCACACTAACGCCTCTGAACCTGCCTGTCGAAAAGATCAATGGAAATTCAAAACAAGGGCTTTATGAAACAAATATCAAACAACAGCTGAACTTTGCGTTCTCCATCATGTCTAACCTGTTCATACTTCTTGTCGTCAATGATCTGACTGCAACCTCCCTCACTTTAAAATGCCGGCGTGCCCTTGAGCCTGACACATAATCCTCTGGCTGCTCAGCGGCCAGCAGCAGAGCGCTGCCAAGTTCTCAGCTTGGACGACTGTGGTGCCATAATAGGGCTTTAAACACATAGAATTAACTTGATACTGGGAAACATTTTCAACCCTGACAATCACTTTGTTGCCTGTTGTGGGAAGGGTCAGTTATCTGCATGGCATACAAATTATGGCTTGCTGCTTTGACAACATAAACTTACTTGCTGCACAAGCAAATAACATCGAGAGTCACCGGCGTCATTTTGTATTATTCTTATTTTCAACAAACCAACGATGCATGGGTGTCTCTTTTAGCTTTACACTCCCCTACCTTGTCAGTAAACTATGAACCAAGCTGAAGAAGGGGTCACAAAAGATAAAGGGTGTTTGTAAAAATCAAAAGCAACAATCTCCTAACACGAGTAAAACAGGTTGCATTTGTTGAGGACTATTTTTTGTGCTGTATTTATGCAGCAGCAGCAGTATTCACAATAAATGACAGCGTCCATTTTCTAAGCAATAAAGGAGGATGTCATGCAGTGCAGCAGTATGGCTCGCTGATTCTGTTTTGTCTCATCTGTAGGCAACAACAGCACTGAAGAAGAAGTTACATCACTCTTAATCGACATCGGCTGTAGAATGACTTCATCGTAGGCCTGGTTTGTGCATTGTTTTAGAAATTGTAGACAATAAGGACAATTAGTCTATAGTTCAGTCATTCTGTTTCAGGACGTAGAGAATCTAAATCTGGGCAAATGGAGGAGGTGTGGGTGGTGCACGAATGAAGTACAAAACAAAAGAAGGGATACAAGTTGCATCGCCTTTAAAGAAAAATTCAGTACACTATTTTTGGAAGGATATAAAAACTCAATCCTTGTCACTTGATTTATGAACAACAGTATATGTGCAATGAGACCTGACAGAGATGATTGTTTTAACTTGTCTAAAAACTAGACACTACATGTGGCAGTAAACAAAACATGCAACCGAGTCAAAAGCACCACACATTCTTCTAGCCTACTGAAGACAAGTAGGTAATTTGTTCGCAGTTCTAAGCAGAACAAACCTCAGCCCGTAGAGAACAGTTCCATCCGGATGTAGTCGGATCATGCGGTTTTTGACCGTCACTCCGTGGACGAATGACTTCTTGTCGTTGAGGAAGTAGGTATCTGGGACCCAGAGCTGGTCGGCAACTCGGTTGTCCAGGGTCAAGTTAAGTGGAATTCCTACGTAGGCAAGACGCTTGTCCCTCCAATACTGTTGGAAATACATGGTCAACGTGTAGTCCTATGGGGGGAAAAAGACAGAAAGAGAACAGGTCAAACTTGACTCATTCCTACATTTTATGCAGGCAGTCACTTGGAGTTTTCTTCCACTAAACGAGCTGCGGCAGACATTAAAAAAACAACATTAACAGCTTTGAAATATTCCCCGCTGTTACTTCTTCTAATATTTCTGTGACATGACACAGCATCCTCCAAGCTGGGAAGACTTGTGGGCCAACTGGTTCACATGCCGCAGCCAAATTCTCTGAAGTGCCTTTGCCCTACCTTTCGGAATACAGTAACCCATACAGTTTCATGCCATTGTACAACGTGTGGGAAGGCTGACTCACGTAGCTGCAGCTTTTGTGAAACATTTTTTTTTTTACCTGATATTCTACAAACTTCTTTCCCTCAAGAGTATTCCCAGTATGAGCACAGTGATTCACAAAACCTCAGAGCTGAACTATAATTATGCCCAAAAGCTTTTTAAACATATGTTGCCTTTCGTTTAATTCAAATTGGCTGACACTTGGGCTTTTAAAGTGGAGTGACTTATTGTCAGCTCTGTTCCAAAAGGCTGCTTTTTGTGACTTATTTTTTTTTCTTGAGTAGTTTTATTCAATGCCAAGCTATGGTTATTTGCTCTCCACGGTGGATTGAGATCGGAATTTGTGCTTTAAGTAACGCTTTATTGTGCTATCCTCTGAGGTCATAGCTAATTTGTAAGTCTAATAGGTATTTTCCCATTATTCAAAAATCAAAAGGATCTCAGAAGCTCTGCGGCAGCATGTAAGAGCTTTCTTCTACCTTTTCTTGTCAAGGCAGTCTTAGCTGTATTAGCAGGTCAAGCTTGCGGCTAAATTCTTTGTAAGCATTTAAACATACCCAATCAAATACAGTCAAAGACCTACTTTATCTGGTGTGAGGCTTATGGTAGCTTGTGTTAGCAAACTTCAGAAAGATTTTATGGTAAGGCTGATATTGCCAAGTCAGATCACGGTTTATGGCTCTTGTATGTTTATATGCTATGCCTTAGGATTTACAATTGTTCCTTTTGGCCACAATGGCTCATCAAAAGTTTTAGGCTTTAAGTAGTTTGAACTGGTGAGATGTTTTTTGTTGTTGTTGGGTTTTTTTTCCTGTAAAATCTAAATCAAATATGAAGAAATACATTTTCTTCGATTGCAAAATATCAAAATTATGTCTTGAATCCACCACATTGTCAAATAAATGAGAAATCTCAACATTAACTCAATGTACGCTGATATAACAGAAGATTTTAAAGCTGTTACATTATCTGTTCAACAATTATTCTTTTCATCACTGCCAATGTTACCCTGTGACTAGTATTAGAATAAAAAATGTTGCCATGTGAGTCACCTCAATAAGCTCATAGCTGCCAGCTCAAACTATGTAGATTTTACAGATGGGCTTCATAACCGAGGGAATGGTTTGGTTTTATTTCAAATCATTGTGTTCATGTAAGATTATATTTTTTTTCTTGTGTCTTTCTGTGTAACAAACCCCTTGCCATCTGGCACCTAAGCCAAACAAATATTAGCAAGAAGTGCTTATAGTCCAGCCATGAGGACACTTTAGGGCGGTTGTGTAATAAATGTTTTGTTTTCCCCGGATTCAAGTAGTATTTGACCAGAGCAGAAGCAGAAGCGTTGATAGAGCAAAGAGCCCCTCCCTCTTTCCTTCCACATCACATAATCCACTTACCCAAGCTAACAGTCTCTCTCCTCTATTTCTGTTTTTCTCTGTCTGTCTGCACCTCTCTCTCTCTCTCGCTCTCTCTCTCTCTCTCTCTCTCTCGGGGCAATGCCATGATCTCCCCTCTGCCCGCTGTGGCACTGAAATGAAACCAGCCTGCACCAAGCTGGCACTGGTGAAGGCACACATGTCCGTGTGGTGCTGCAGTTTTTACGGTTCGAACCAAATGGTAACAAAACAAGATAAAAAAAAACGGCCATGTCTTTACCAAAATGTTTATGTGTTACATAACTAAAGTAGTTATTTGTCTCTTTGCGCAGCATGAAACACTGTGTTACTAATGCTGACAAAACACTTGAGGTTTTGCATTTTCATGAGAAAAAAACGTGGAAAAAAACAACAACATAAAATTATGCAAATTCAAGCCATTGACAGAAAGCGAAATTATTCCTTTCTCTTTACTTCATATTCACTGAACGTGTTTTCCAGGTTTGGTTAGCACACAGAGATGTGAAAGGGAAGATCTTAGTCAGCACAGGATACAGATTGGTCACACAGCATGACAAGGAAAGCTCATTGGCACCGAGCCATGAACATATAGTGGTGGAACCATGGCTTATTTGGTAGCCTGCAGCCCCCCAAACACTGGCAAATTGTGGTAATTACAAATTATGTGGGAAGAAATGTCTGCTATTAAGAAGCAATTACCTTTTGTGGTACTATTATCATCTGCCAGCACAAATCATCTTTCTTTGCCCTCTTTAAATCCAACCCCCATCCAACCGCATTATTCAGTGATTCTGTTTGAAGCTGATACCTCTCCTGAACAGCATGTATATCTTTAAAAATTGGAGCAATTCAGCAGTTCAATTAATCTGCAACAGTTTTGAACTCAATTATCACACAAAAAAATGGAGTATTTGTGCATATTAATCCTCATTATTTTGTTCTCTGTCTGCATTGACACATGTTCACTTCTCATACTGACAGACATCTCCATCCCAATCTAAACGTCACCTTTTGTGTATAAGTGTCCACTTACTTTTGACCCCTTGCAATTTGGGCACCATATTTTAAAAGCACAATATCCTCTACGTATTGGTCTAAACCTGCAGAAAGCCTGAGCACCAGAGCAAGTGTGTAACGCCACAAAATACTTCTGCTCTGGACTGTATCAATGTGAATTAAATATTGTGATGTTTGGACTGCTGAGTTGTAATCTTAAAATGTGCTCTGGTTCCCATTTTACACGATCCTCAGTGGTTTTTCTGCTGCCAATGGATTAAAAAAATAAATAAATCTGGACGCTGATCAATAACAAGGATAATTTCCCAGTGGCTATTTTACCCATTTGATGATTGGCAAATCCACATCAGAATAATCAATATGTTCTGAGTCGTGAAACTGATGTTTAGCCCGCGTTATATTTACTATAGATTCACTATTAATATGTGGTGTCAGCAGATTCAGTTCTAATCCGTCCAAACTGTTCACAGATACAAGAGGCCGCCCCAATAATATCAAACATCCTCGATATCTATGAGTTAAAGTCAGGTGGTTATTATTATTGCACTAATGCCGTTAACACTGTTGCCAAGCAACAATAAACATCACGGCCCTTGGGGCTAACGTTAGCAATAGATATTAAAACTGATCATTAAAATCTCTGCACCAGTTCACGCTGAAGACCAAACAACAGTGACCACATCTCCCCAAACATTTTCTCATCCAGACTCATTTAGTTTTTTTCTTACTGCTCAATATTATCAGCGTTAAAGCATCACAGGCTCTCTGGTAATAATATTCTGTAGTGGCGTTATTTTCCAATAGAGGTTGTCAAAACCTATGTTACCCGAAAGCAAAACGAAGTGCACTTCATTTCTTCTTGAATGTGGCGATGCAAATAGAGGAGGAGGAGGTGTCATCAATAGGGGCCCCGAGCAGATTAACCTCGACGTGACATCCAGGGACAGCTTTCTTATATTCTATAGTTAAACAGCCTTGGCAGATATATACACTGGTAATGTCATGCTACTAGCAACAGAATGGAGTTAAATCACATTCAGCTGCTTTAAGTGACTGGAAAATAAATCCTTGTCATTTTTCACAAATTTGTGACATAAAGGGCAATAACTGTTATCAGTCATAGTCCCATTAAAGGAGTCAGTGTCGACTGATCCCGGCATGTGGTGGAAATTAAATTTGCTGTATGAATCAGTTCTGTAGACTTGCCTTCCCCCTCTCCTCCATTACCACTGTAACTTTACCCTCCATCATTCCCTACAAATGACTAATGTCTTTCACACTGCCTTGTTCTGACCCCTCTCCCCCCCTCCTTCTCCCCTAAAGCCCTACTACCTCCTCCCTGCCCCTCCTCAGCGCCATCACGCTTTAGGTTCCCATCTCCCGCCACAGTGTCAGCAGGTGGGCAGCCCTGCGAGCGCCTCGTAAGACATAAATGATTCAAATCAACCATGTAGCCTGTGCAAACACGCGGCCAAGGATACCTCATCAATCTTGCATACAGACAATCAAAATGAATTTCAGATGAGCGCAGCTTTGCATTACCTGCTCTGGAACAGTCTTTTCTTTTTTAAGGAGGTGGGATCTGATTTTCTATGAACTAGGACTATGGGTTATGAATTATTGAAAACTCTCCCCACAACACACGAATTCCCACGACACTCTGCGTTACCGCTGTTGTTTGGTTATTCACATGTGTTTTCAGCAGAGATAACGGCGGTGACCACTGCAAATGATTTCCAGCAAGCCTCAAATTATTCAATTAACTCGACTGGATGATCACTTCCATTCAGGGTGTGTGAGAATTCAGATAAGCGGAGTTTTGGCTGTGAACTGACCCATATTCAATTTAATCTCTCTCTCTCTCTCTGCAGTGCTATGTCGTGATACCGCCACCAGAATCTAGGAAATATCCTGCGTGTCACATGTCATATGTTCTCTGTCGTTCGCATATGCTCCGACTAGCACATCATCACAGAGCGCGGCACAATCGAAACAGAAGACAAAACGTGTTAATAGACTGAAAAAGAAAGATGAATCATTATTACATCTGACGCGTATCAAAGGCGCTCGGCATGAAAAATAAATGGCCGCAGCCTCTGCAAGTTTTCTTAACTTTACATTTTGGGACAGGGAAAAACAATGATATGATATGTAATCACCGTGTACTCTATATGAACCCCGGTTCAGTAAAGCAATTTGAGTCACTTCAATGTAATTTTCGGAGCTCTCCCTCGGGATGGCCCTGAAGCGGTATATCACCGCAGTGCGGGGGAATCCCTC